ATGAGTCCATACAATCCTTCATAAAAGTACCTAACCGGATCAAATCATTTGAATTTTTGAAAACATTATTTCTTTCAGAAGGTGGACTTACTTCTCCAACAAAAATCACTGAATCAATTTGTTGTTGATGTATTAAAGAAACTGTGAAATCAGGCTGCTTTGCTCTACTGGCTAAGTTTCTTATTTTGCTTTCGTGTAATTCAGTATTAGGCCATTGTACTAAGGCCTTGTCTGGATCATGAAAAAGTCCTTTCATTATCCTGTCCAGATTATTTGTAATTAATGTGATTTCACTGGGATCATTTTGGATTTTTGAAGTAGGCAATGTTCTTAGAAGATCCAATATAATAAAACCAAGATTGTCTTTTATAATTTTTTCTTTCAAAAGTTGCTCACATAGCCAATCGATGGCTACATCTCTGGAATCATTTTTACCCATTTTGATTGCTTTCCTAAAAATATAAACAGGTTTATCACCCAATACTATTTTTGGAAGCGTTGATGTTTGTTGTAGATGTAGTTCTAGTACTGGTGACAACAAGCATATACTACAAACCCTTCCTCCTATTTAAATGCACTGGAACATTAGCACAACACACAAAAAGGATAGTAAATTGGATATGAGAGTATTGGTTTAATGAAGAGGATTTACAACAGAGTCACCAAAACAAAAAATCTCAAAACAAAGATTTTGGCATCATATCCTATCAACTCTAGGTAAAGAAAAATTTTCTTTTATGATATAAATTATATTAGATACATAAATGTATTTATTATTTATATAAATTTCAATACATCAAGGATAACCTAAAAAAAACTGTAATTTCAACAGTTGGAAAATTAGTACCAGGCAGGAATGATTTTTTGCATTTGGAGACTGTGGAGTTAGAATTTACATATCCAGTTATAGAATTGCCATCATCATCATTGTTATCCTCATCACTATCATCAAACAATAACAAAAAAGGAAAAAATATTGACAAGAATCAAGCAACACTAAAAAAACTTGAGGACTCATTTGTTGAATCAAGTGCTATTTCTAAAAAAAAAAAAATAAATAAAAGATCCTTGCCATCACCAAGGAATGAAAAAAAACCGTTAAGAAAAGAAAAGCTTTTGAACAAGTTGTTGAAGAAATTGTCAGAAATGAGCAAGAATAAGATAAAGAAGTGGAACTTACCAAGAAATGAACAAGAAAGGTATTTTTATTTATTTTTGTATTTGATACAAAGCACCTTAATCAATTCCTTTTTAGATCAATTATATATTAACATAATATTATAGTGTATTTGTAGTGAATGGTATACCATAACATTGTTGCATGCATGTTATAATAAATAATGAGTGTATAATTAATATTAATAAAGCTTATGTGAT